TGATATACATTGCTTTCCTCCAAGGAGTTTTGAACCAAGATTTCAGCAAATCACGCAGGAGGTAGGCTATTTTTTTCTATTTTATCAAACTGCTTGGCATTTCTTATTTCAAGAAAATTGAAGCAAATAGAATCATAGAATCACTAAGGTTGGAAAAGACCTAAAAGATCACCCAGTCCAACCGTTCACCTATTCCCAATAGCTCCTACTTAACCATGTCCCTCAACACAACATCCAGTCTTTCCTTGAACACCCCCAGGGTCGGTGACTCCACCACCTCCCTGGGCATCCATTCCAGTGCCTGACCACCCTTTCTGAAAAGTAATACTTCCTCATGTCCAGCCCAAATCTCCCCTGCCGTAGCTTGAAAATAATTACAAAAACCAAGGGGCCACTTATTTCATCCTCTAATATTCTAGTATCTCAAGTGTCCTTAAAGAGCATTTGTAGCCAGTTGGCTGTCTCCATTTTGTTTTCAGTTCAGAACAATTTAATTGTAAGGTTATTTGCAAAGGTTTAAGAGCACCAGCTTTTTATTTAGGCGTATAGGAATAAAGTGAACAGAAAGATACCTAGGATCTCTCCCTTGAATTGACACAGAAGCTTCCATTATTCGCCTTTCCGCTTCATCCCTCTGTCCTCTTGCACCTAAATTCTGACTTTCTCCCAAACTCCTTTGCTGTCCCTCTGGCCTACCATGCATGTGGCCCCATCTCCATTCTAAGCACTCCCCACTTTCCTAGCTCTCTACTTTAATGTGTTTCAAAACTGCATTTTTCATGTGCTGCCACTGTTTCCCCCCCGTAAGCAATACTTTACATAATTCATTATGTTTGTTTGCATCCACACTAGACAGTTCATTAGCTTAGTCTTCTACTTGACTAAACTAAGTTGGGAGCAATTTACACATCCAGTTCTCTCATTTTGTAGTCCTGATACCCATGTGCATATAAATGTTCAATACCAATAAAAAGATCTGCAAGGATAGGGTAGAAGTACCTGCTCGTTCTTGGAAGAAAAAGGTTAAACTAAAAATGTAAGGTGGGAAACCTCCACTGTACTGGGGAAGGGTTTCACGTACTCTTACCCCTTTGCTAAGTCAGAGCAGAATGGCAGAGACTCAAAGTAAAGACATGAGCATCTGGGATTCAGCCTGTTCTGCAGGGCAGTTTCAGAACTGCTCTGGATGGGTCTCACTCTCAGTTCACCTTGTATCAGCTGAGAGGCCATTAAAGTGAATATATAAACTGCAAGATAGCGTGATGTGACATGTTTTATTTCAAGCTTGTTACACCAGTAATTGTTACTGCAAATAGCTGTCATTCCCAGCAGTGTTTGCTTTTTGTTGACAATGAAGAAAACTCATTTGTTTTATAGTGTGAAGCTTAATTTACTTCATGGTTGGTTTCTTTCTTTGCCTGTCAATCCCAGATCTCAGAGAAATAAATGCAGTCAGATTTATAGCAAGCAGAATGAGCTGTAACTAAACTGCCAGGACAAAAACAGCAGCTTCTTAGTGATAATGAAGGGGATTTTTTTGGAAGGCATGGAGGATCAAAAACTCCTTCTGGAGCGCATTAGCTGTGACTGCCAGTCATGGAGTGTACCCAGATTGGCCAGTGATCTGTGGGTATTTGCTCTTCAGTTCTGCTTTTTTATTATTAAATTGGACAACTCCAGAAGTTCTAACTCTGAAGATGACCATCTGCTGGCCTTTGGCCATTTGTCTGTCCAACAGCCATCCCCTCATATGGTACAAGGACACAGTTATACCTGCGTGAGGAGCATGGGGAAGAAAAAGCCCCGTTCTTTAACAGATGTAGAATTGCAAGGGAAACCTTTATGGTAGAGATTCTATTCTTGGAAGAAGTCTCCAGGGTGCTCAGCTAATCCCATTCAGGACTCACCAATGATTTAAGGAGGACTTCTGTAACCTGCATCAGCAGCAGGAGGATTTGTCTACACAACAAACATTTCCCAAGGTAGTTAATATTCTAAAAGATGTTTAACGTGTTCAGGCCAAATAGATCTATACAGAATGACATCAGAGCTGCTCCAAAAGTAATACCTCCTATTTTATTATGTTGGCCCACGATGTCAGAGGCAACTATTGGTGGTATGGCAGTAGAAGTTGAACCTTCCCACCAATATTCCATTACATGCTGCTGCGACAGGTGGCAGCAGAGGAGCAGTCTGACAGAATGGTGTCTGACACGGAAGTGTGGATGAAGCAAAGGGGTGCAGTTGAATTCCTTCATGTGGAAAAAATGGCACCCATTAACATTCATCTGTATCTGTTGAACATTTGTGGAGACCAAAGAGTGGATGTGAGCCCAGTGAGGTGGTGGTTGGTGCATTTCTGTAGAGCTGACAGTGACAGTGGGACACTGATGCTGGTGTAGATTTTTTTTTTACAAGTGTGGCATGCATGGTCTTGTTCATTGGTGGTGAAAACACATAGCTAATGGTGGTCCGATGTTGAACAAGAGTGTTTGGCAGCTGAGAATTTGCTCTATCAAACAGTATTATTGCGCTCTTTGTACTGGTTGTAGTTTCCCTGGAAATAAATAGGTGGCATTATTTTCAGAGTAACTTATGTATCTAGCAGTGCTAACAGTAACAAATTCAAACAGCAGAAACCCCAAAGCATCCAAGTTTTTTTCTTGACTATCAAAGCAAACCAAGCACCGGATAAATGTTTCCTGAACACACAGTTGTACAGAATCCTTTGAAGCAGACCTCACAGTCCTGTACCAGAGCAGAAGGTCCTCCAGCAGCTGGAGGCTGATCCCCAGAGGGAGCTGCAGGAAAAGGCAGTGCTAAGCAGTGTGTTCGTAGTTGGAATGGGGTTTTATTGAATCCTGGTGTAAGGTCCAGTGGAAACACCATGGTCATGATTTCTGCAGGAGTACATCAAAATATGTTTTAAGTGCTAAGTTAGAATAGGCCTTCAAAGTGGATAAGCTTTCCTGATATTCTAGCCTATTACTGCCAAAGATGAAAATCTAATTAAAACCAGACAGATAGGAAAGCACAGCCACAACTGGAGACTCCATCCAGCAGGAGCTCCTGCAAAGGCTTCTACAGGGCCTTCTACTGCATTGAGCTGGGCTGGAGCTAAAACCATACAGACAGGTCATATGGGGCCTGGGGGGCCTCAAGGATACTTGTGCCCTGACCCCATTCTCCATGCCATACATGGTGAGAGGTGTGAGCCAAGCAGGAACAGCTGCAGCAGAAGCCCAAACAGCGACTTTGAGGCATTTAGACCTCTGAAGCACTGTCCGTCCCATGCTGCTCTTCTTCCCGTTCCCTTCAGCTTGCCTCGCCTGCTGTTCTCTGCCAGGCCTCAAACCCCCACTGCCATTCACATCCCGCTGTTTGCTTTTACTTTGCGTGACCTAAAGGCATCTGATTAGAAGATGAATCAAGAAATTAATGTATCGCTTGTTAACACAGTACCATTTATTGGTTTTGTGCTTTTGCTCATTTTCTTGCTTACTGGTCTGTTGTGACTCTTGGTGTCCAGATTCACCTAGTACTGCATCTACGGTGTTCAATGTGAAGAAATCCACTTCCTTCAGAATCTCTAAGCTCACCCATAATAAGCATTGTTAACAACAAAAGTGTGCCCACAAACAGGTAATGTGATGCTCCTGTCACTGCATGAACCACTGGTACAGACTCTTATCTCATGTCCAAGTTTGGGTCAGATAACCATCGAGCTGTGCACTGCTGGCTCCCAGGTGTCCATGCAGTATAGCCATAGCCAGCATGAGCCTGTCTGCCAGCACCTCTGGCAATTGTTGTGCTCTGCACAACACGTTCGTCTCTTGCCCTCATTCAGAGAAGCATGCTCCACACTGCTCTGTTGGCTGGCTGGTATTGCACATACTGTCTCAGCTGCTGCAGGCAGGCTATAAGTGATGTGTTTGCCTGCAGGCCTCAGTGGTACTCACTGATTACAATCACCTACTCTCACTTCAGCAAGTAGTAAATATCACACTTGAAAAACATTCCCTAGTTTTCATCCTAGGTCTAATAACTCTACAAGTTACAAAAATGTTTATAGAAACTGTGAGAATTTAAAGCTGTAGAGTTCTATATGTGTGCTGACCTTTAGATACTACATGAACAATGCCTGGATCTTGGCAACCAGCAGCCTGTAAGGGAACTGAATGCAGGCCGCTTGTCATGAATAATCCCATCCTTTTCCTGAATCGTGTGGTGCCTTGGACTTTAAGCATCTAATAGAAAGAAGATGGAATTTGGAGGGAAACTATTAGTTTAAAGTAATTATCTTCTTTACTAGTGGTCAGAGCTGGCTGAATTCAGTACAGTTAAGTGCTGTAAACTTGCTTACATGTACAGTTTGACTTCAGTGCAGCTGTGACAGAATAAAGCTTAAATTACTCATAATGGAAACCAAAAGATCCTGCCTGGCAGGCGCTGCACAAGAACGTCCATCGCTATACCAACTAACTGTGGCTATAAATAAAGCAGATAAAAACTAAGTAGATAAAATTTAAAAACCTTTAAAAAGTCTAAAGAAGATTAGAAACAATATAATTTAGATTTTGGATTGAACATCCTCTTCCTTCTCACTGCTCTCCCATTCTCAGATAAGCAGCTCTTCAATAACCACCAGCAATCACAGCCTTTGTTGCTGCATATTCCCCCATGGGCTGAACTTGATGATTTAAGTACAGTTAAGGATTCAAAAGGCAAAGTATAATAAAGTTTCATTTATGTATTTAATACTGGTAAGAGTGTGGGAAATACTGGCAAGAGCTGAAGGAAGAAGAAAAGCTTTACTGTTAAATTTAAATTTACATTTTTCTTTTTTTCCTTTTTTAAAGGCAAAATTTGGCATTGCATCTTCAATTACGTGTGCTTTCCAGGGTCTTGCAGGCTTCCTTTCCCACTACATATCTCCATTCTGGGAAAGGAAAAAATCCATCTTCTTAAATAAATAGTTTCCTGTAAGGTTACAGACTCACCACATCCATGATCTGCATGAGGCTGAGAGTGAAATAGACAGTGAGTGGCTGGGAGTCATTCGCAACTGGTCGTTCCAGAGGGTTGTAGTTCTTCAGCAGCTCCTTGTACAGCTTCCTTTGGAACTCTCCTTGCAGGGACTCTTTGGGCATAGGAAGAGAGAAATCATTAGGATTCTGCATTGGAAAGTAAGGCTCAGACATATGTTCTTTTCATCCTACCAGATATTATGTAGCTATTATTACTTTACATGCTGCATTCTTGGAAAAACAATTCATGTAGTTCATCAGCTGCAATGGCAAAATGTTTTGCCAAATGCATTACCACTCTTTTCACCCCAAAGGGGATTTCCTTTCTTGGCTGTCCAGCAATGGTTAACTTGAAATGGCAGTGACCCTTTGTCATCACACACACTCTTTGGTCGGGCAGAGGAGTGATGAGGACGCAGTGCAGTGCATTTAGGCACACATGTCCTGGCACACATATAACCAGGGGGCCACAGCACAGGTGTGGCAGGGAGCATCAACCAGACAGTGGAAGAAAAATGGCTCCTGGCGAGGACTGAGCCGTGCACCCCGACTGCTTCGAACTGAGAACTCTTCGGGCGAGTACTCTGCTCTGTTCTCTGTGCAGTCAGCTATCAGCAAAGCGTGGGTACTGGATCCCTGGCAGGGATGGATGATAGGTGCTACATTAATGTACGTGATAATATTCGGGGATTTCTGTCCTATCGAATCCAGGGAGGATCTTTATTCTGCCATTTTCTATGGAGGGAGAAGGAGCTCCGCACGGATGGAGCAGAGCAGACCGGGCACAGAGGCAGTTTCGGGAGGAAAGGAAATCTGGGTCAGAGAGGAACAGGTCCTCTAACGTGCCCGCTCCCGTCCCCACTCCAGACAGTTTCCTCTCATTTTCGGTCCCGAACTTCCCCTGTAAAGCAGCAACAGTGCCCTGGGGGAGTTTGTCCGGCCATCTCCCCGGTCCGCTCCCGGCAGCGCGGGGCCGCTGCGCAGCGAGGCGCCTCCAGCCGCCGCGCCCGCTCCCGTGCCCGGCCGTGCCCGCGGCCCCACTCACCGCGCACGAGCCCCGCCGCCGCCAGCAGCCACAGCATCAGCGCCCGGAGGCCCATTCCGGGAGCCCGGCAGCAGCGGAGCCGGGAGCCTCCGTCGCCGCCGCGGACCTCTCGTCGTCCGGCCCCCTCCTGCGCCCGCGCGGGGCTCTCCCTGCGGTGCCGGCTCCTGCGGAGCCCGGTGCCGCCCGCCGCCGGGGTACGGCCGCCCTGCCGTGCTCGGCGCCGGCCGGAACGGGAGCGGAGCCGCTAGCGGGAGGTTACCGCGGGCGGAGCGGCGTGGCGCGGCGAGCTCCGGCGTTATAGAGACCGGAGCGGGAGCCCCCTCCCCGTGGAAGCCCGCCCGCGGCCCCGGCAGCCCGCCCCGCCCCGCCCCGGGCTGCCCCCGAGCGCTGCCCGCCCGCGCCGCCCGCAGCGGGAACGGCGGAGGCACCGCGGCGGGGCCGGGGACGGCGGGCAGCCAGCCGTGCCTCACGGCCCGGGCAGCCGCGAGCAGTGGGAGCCGGATCCCCGGGGCCGCCCTCCCTGCTTACCCTCTCCTCATCCCGGGGGCTCGGTCTTTCTCCCGCGCGGCGCCATCGATGGCAGCTGTCGTTGTGGAAGGCGGCCCCGAGGGCAGCAAGTGACCTGGGCAGGAGAGCACCTGTCCGTGCTGAGTGAAACAGCGGCAAGGAAACAGTGTGAGGCTCCAGGTGGGAATTCGGCTTTGCTGAGGTCTTGGAGAGGAAGGAGGTGGGCAAAACAATGTCCTCTCCCAGAGCACGCATGGCTGCTCAATCCTCAGCAGAGGTGCAGGGCCGTGGGGTCAGGTGTGCAATGGTTTGTCCATTTACAGAAAAAATAACCTGTGCTGAGGAGTGCTGCGTTTAGCACTTGACAAACAGGGAACTGAGTGAAATGATGCCAGAATTCCCGCCTGGTGTAGGTGCACCTTGCAAGCTGGAAAGCAGGCCCTGAAAATTCAGAGCATTTTGGTGATCATCAGGTTCCTGTTTGCAATTGACATTTGTGACACTGTGTGTAGGTGGTCAGCCCAAATCCCCGAATCCCCAGCCTTCAGCTGCTGCGTTAAACGAAGATCCAGGCAGCTGCATTCAAGGGAGGATGCCACGGAAGAGCCTCCCCTCTGCAAGAGATAACAAAATGTTTGTTCTTCCAGTCACCCAGCAAACACCAGGCGATTAGCCCATGTTCATTCCTAGATTTTAAAGTCCAGGTAATTTGTTTTGTGTTAAGCACTGATCTAACTTATGGAGGCACTGTTCAAATGTTTTTACATGTTGAGCTCAGGACCAGATGAACGGAGACAACCTGAACAGCCCAGCATATGCATGCATTGGTCATACAGGCACTTATATATGGCGCAGTAGAACCATGCCCCTTTGGAATGAGCCAACCTGAAAATCAGCAACAGTAATTCTCCTACAGACCAGCTCACGCAGGAACATACCCTGATAGAATTCTCAGGTGCTTTGGAATTGTCTAGGTTGAGTTTTATTTCAGTTTATTTTAGTTTTCAGGGTGGTTTTTTTGTTTGTTTGTTTTCTGTGCGATGTTGACCTTCTTGGAACAGCTAGCAAAGAGGAGGAATGTGTTGCTAGGAGCTCCATGTTCCTGTCTGAGCAGCCAAGTGTCATCCATTTGTAATGAAACCCTTACCTGGCAGTGCTCTGAGCACCTGGCTTTTACCTCTTCTTGTTTTGGAAGGGAACTCCCTTCCTCTTCCTCCTGTTATCCACTGCTGTAACAGCACAGATACATCAGATTATTTCTAGATGGACAGTCAACAGCAGAATTGTTCAGACAGCAAATTTGGAGAGGAAATGTACAGTTCAAGGCTGACCTCTGCTGTTGGCTCATTTTGCTCTGCACATTGTTTTGTTGATGGCTGCCTCTCCCCAGCCGCTGAAGGCAGGATCACAGTGAAAGCACTGGGAAGCTTGCACAGCCCAGGGTTGTCAGGAGCCCTTCTCTTTAAGCCACATCAGCCCCCATCTCCAGACTTGCTTGCACCAGACCTCTGCATCTCCTTGCTTCTTTGTTCCTTCTAGGCCACACAGCCCAGAGGAGGTGGACTTGCTGCCTCACAGAGCTGCTGTGTTTGCGCACCAGTGGTTCCAGGAGTGTCCATATTGTACAGCAACTGGGAATGCAGAGTGGAAGTACTCAGAGCCGTACTGCTAAGGTTGCCTCTTTACTCCTCCACCTCACTGGCCAGAAACTCATATTCAGAATGATGTCTTCTGAATTACTACCTGTTTAACAATAGGAAATCTATCAGACTTTAGTAGCCTTGCATAAAATACTCAACAACCTGTGGCCAGCAGAGGCTCTGTCCTCGGCCTCCAGCTCCCACCAGAGATAGAGTCCCATTCCTCCTAAGCTTTAATTCTTCTTTGTGTTTGCATCATCCAACCGGGTGATTTGGAGAGAGCCATCACCTCTCCTCAGATAAAGCTTTTCTAGATGCAATGATGAGTGCAAATTCATCTCACAATTGCAGGTTGTAAAAACTGCTGTGGGACTGCCACCACTTCAGGGTGTTTGCCTGAATATGGACAAGCCCTTAACAGTTCATTTGCCATGCATGTTGGACATAATAATACAAGGCAATCTGTCTTGTATCTGTACTGCTTGTGAATATCCAATATATTCACAGAGACAACAATATGCCCAGATCATACATCTTCACAGGAAGGTCAGGTATAAGAAAATGCTTGTGGTGATAGCATTTACCTAATGTCAGTGTGCTGCTTTTTGTTCCTTTATCTAGTAAGCAAAGAAGTGCGTGCATCTTGTGCAGAAGGCGCACATCCTCACTCGGGTATTATTTCAGGAGTCTGAGTGAGGCACAAAGCAATCGCAGAAACACATTGGCATTTTGAGTTTGTGACTATAGAAAAATAAGATATTTCCCAGTTTTATTTATAAGGCTGATCTAGGACACTGGTAAGTTAAAAGAACCGGGGACTGAAGCTCATTAAGAGTGACTCATGTGGTCATTACAAGATGTTGCAGGGATTGTAGTATTCCCCAGTGTGAGGAATAGCCTTGTCTTCTGTCTGCACTGGTTACAGGCAAGCAGGCAAAAGCATACAGCTGCCTCGTGTGATGGAAGATGGTAAGACAGCCCTGAGCTTCGGCTGGGAGAAGTGACCATCTCATACACAATCTGAAAGCGCCTGCAGTGCTTTCTGACTTTGATCTAATATTGTGAAACTGCATGGGCCCAGGGCTTCCATGGGCAAAAAAATCTGCTTCTCCTTCTTTTAGGAAGAAGGTAGACTGGGCAAGGATTTCAATTGAAACTTCCAGCAACTGTTAGATGAGACATGCCTACATTAATTTTAATGTTCTCAAATTAAACTAATTACATCTTTGATTGTTGCCTTTATTTTTGGATTTTTATGTAGTGTTAGTAAAGGAGTCTCATGTTATTAGTTACTCCCTCTTGTTTATTTTTCACAAGTAATAGTCTCAGTGGTGGGGAATGTATCTGTGATGACTTTGATTTTCTTCTGTGCCTTGAAAAAATGGCCTGAATTCTTTGCCAAGATGTAGCAGATAGCTTTGGTGATGACTTTTCCACTGAAGGACAAATTAGTGCTTTGAAATCTGGTTATTTTTATAACTGAACTTATTTTCTATACATCCACTCTCAAACAGAAGTTCGTGAAGGTTATCTCTTACTAATTTCTTAGCTCCTGCAGCAATATGTGATTTCCAGAAAACAGTACATTCCCCAAATTGCTTTTTGGTTGGAAAGGATAAAAAAAAGGGCACAAACTGTTCTGTTGTTAAAAACAACAGAGCTTCTGCACCCCTACTTTGCAAAAAGCAACAACTGAGAGAGTTGCTGTAATTCATGTGCTCTTACGTGAAGAATAACAACTCGTAAAATTTGCCTAATGAATTTGTGTAACTAATGAGTGGTGCCCATGGCCATTTCTATAATGCCAACATTATAGAATGTTCCGGATTTCATCCTCATCCCTCACTGCTGTTAGCATACACATACATTAGTGTATGAGTATAGCAATTAAACAGCAGTGGGAGCAACACTGTGGAAATGTGCGAGAAGAAAACGTAGACTCTTCTGTTAGCTGGAGCTAAGGCTGAGTAATATGGCTGCTC